GCGCTTTTCCCGTAGTTAGCCTCCAGTACATAATGGGTCGACATGGTAAGAGCATGGTACGCATGAAAACACACCGAACATCGGTATTTTTGGATGGAAAACATGAAAATAAACACTGTCAATAGCCTGAACGGTACAACATATATCGAACGATAGCATGCACCGACGTATCGAGATGGAAAGCGTTTCCATCACTGCCATTTGACACAGCGTAAATGTTTGACGTGACTTCGTTCACCTCGTACTGAGTTGCACGATTCTTTGCAACCAATACTGCTGCTCAATCTGACGATAAGCGTGGGTGCTCATCTCATGCGATAGTTGCTCCAGTTACCGTGATAGCGCATGTACCCAACGGCAGTCATCTTTTTGCTGTATTCCATTTCAGCCACCGCTTGCAAAAAATCAGCGTGTCCACACATTCATGAAGTGGCATTTCTGGTTTCAAGTTCTCCTTAATTTGGTCCCTGGAAGCTTCCAGTCTAGCACGTGCACCGAGACAGTTAGTAAACCAAACAGCATCAAATTGGCCCAGTTACACACTTACCAACTGTTAGTATGATTGCCCAAGTGTGGCACGTCTGAACGAGCATATAGAGCCCAACGCTCCTTCTGCTGGTCCCAATTTTTCATGAAGTACTGGAGGAATGGATGCTTAAGCTCTGGAATCTTGTCGTTTGAATCTAAATGTGTGGTGTCCAATAGGAAATACAGATACTTAAGGTACTTTGTGTAATCTTCGATCGTTGGAGCCATTCTCAACATGTCCACAGCGTCTTCAACTTGGTCCATGTCGAAGCTGCTCGGTCCACCGTACTTGCTCTTTTTCATTTCAGAGCGAATGTACTTCTTAAGATGGAAGTGGCGGAGGATAACTTTGACATGCGGAAAATGCGTCTCCAACAGACTCAGCTCGCCCATATCTCTGTCGATTACAATCACGCGTATCTGCTCCCAAGACGGATTCGAGAGCTTGAACGCCTCGATGGCATCCGCCAAGCACTAAGTACTCTCATTTTCCATTAGACTGTGCTGCACGTATTGTCCCTAATCATGCACATAATACGATAAGTAGAAGCGTCAGCGTTCAGGTAGCTTCAAATATACTCGTATGTACTATAAGTACTTCTAATTACCAAAAGGTATCAGTACTTACATGTCCGTATACGTCATGTACCATAAACGAGAAGAGCTTGTACCTCGAGTCGTTTGTGTTGTGCGTCGCATCCACGAGGAGTACCTCGGGGAAAAGCTTTGAACCATCTCCGCATTTGGCGCGTCTGCAACGTGATTGTTTGCGCCAGGGACTCATCATCAACAAACACAGAAGATCGGTTTCCTCGCCGCCCGCAAAATCTTCGTAGAAGAGTCTCAAGACGTTGTTCGACAGTATCCCTACCACGGCGCTCTTCTCTCATTCTTGCAGCCATATTGTGAACATCACGAAGAGTCACATTTTGACCTATAATTCAGATTACATTCGATGTCAAAATGGGTAGCAATCACAGTTGTGAAACATGGGTTTTTACCTGTCTTTTCGCGAAGAAATTGCATGATGCGCTTGGATATTGAACCGGAGGACTGCATCACATCGACAAATGCAAAAAGTACAGGGTCCTCAACACGACGCACTGACGGATGATTCTCGTAAACAGTTCGGTCGACGCGATGGTTATGGCTTGTGCTGGATCCTGTAACACAGACCATAAACTTCCGTTCTTCTTTGTTCCACGTCACGGCGGCCTTGATGCCAGCTTTACACTCCGTCGACTTGCCAAAGTAGCTCTTGCGCTGCCCAAAACTGCGGCATTTTCGGCACCAGCCGTGGGTACCGATGTACTTTGCTTAAAATGAAATCTTCCGGGATAAGCGAACCCGACGTCCCCCCACCGTTGGCACCGGCCCCTGCTTGGCCCTGGATTTCAGCATTACGGCGTGCTACCGACGTCGAGCTTCAAAGACGAAAGAGCTGATGCGTATCCTCCTGGCACACTACTAGATACTCCTTGAAGGCCTCCCAACTTTCGTGACATTC